GGAGATTTACTGGTGGATTAAGGAGATGTGGGATTATAACCGATGAGGTGCAGATTTTTCTGTGGCTTTTAAAAATCTTCCTGTTCCAGAAAATAAATCCTGCTGGTTTCAGAATGAGCCATGGCATAATTAATGAGGTTGAACTCTATACACGTGCACTGCCCAGTGAGTGTGCTGAAGACATTACATGAAAAACAGGAAAAAAAAGAAAAACTAATAGAAAAAGTACACGACTGCATACAGAAGGAGTTTGACTTTTGGAAATATTTCATTTACAGCTACATGTTATTACAGTGGTTATATCAATTATTAACTCATGGTAACACTTACTAGTGTTTTAGGGCTTTCAACAGCATACCATGGTCTTCATCAGCAGATGGTCACTCCTAATAAAGGCATTTACAGAATTAATTCACAGAAATACTTATCTAGAATTTCATTTTCATGCTATAGCTTTACTACCAAGATACAATCAGTGCTATGGTGAGACTGTGACATGTGGGTGAAAGCTCCAAAAAGAACCAGTACAATTCCCAGGGTTAAAAATGAACTTTTATGCTCAAGAATGGATTTAATAATAGTAAATGTGATGTGAAGTCAAATCTTATGAAAAATGTCCTAGTATTGTACCTTAAACTAATCCATGTACTCTAGAATTAAGTGCTTTTAAGTTCTTAAAAAACAGCAAAGAGTTGTATTTCCTTGACCACTTTCTGTTTTTTTTGCTAATTAATTCCTTAGGTCCTACAAAGAGTAAGTTCATCAAATTGTTGCTATAAGAAAAAATTCTGGAACACGCCAAGGCACAGCAGTCATCTCTCAACCATGAGGTCCAGATTTAACACAAAAATGGAATCCAACGGCAGTGAGTATTACATTACATTCATTTTGTAGATGTTTTGCCCAAGAGACACACACCTCTTTTCAATATATACAGAGCAGGGCCAACTACGGGTTCGCTGTCTTGCTCAAGGACATGTCAAAATGGGGACAGGAAATGAAGAGCAAACCTTCAACCTGACCATACCCAACTCACTCAACAGCAGCAGTACATTTAGCTGTAATAACAAAAACTCCTGAGCATTCACTAAGGAGGAAAAGCTATTAAAATGCTATTTTAGTTACAGGGAAATAAAATGTTTAAGTGTTTGAGTCTTTTGTTCCATGGTGGAAAACCTATAGCTACTGAAATCATATTTCATACCTGATGTGGCAGAGGGAGAATTTCACAGATGGCAGAGAAAAATGAAAGGTTTGTATATTTTACTAAGGGAGGAAAAAAACCAAAGCAGACAAAGCAATGTGTTTGTGAGAAAAGTCTGAATAATACATCAGAAATCTCTGAATTATTCACAAGGTGGTGGGTGTTGGTGCAGGTGGCAGAGGGTGATGGGAAACTAGGGAAAGGGGAAAAACAGAAAATTGACAGAAAGCAGAAAAAGGACAGAAGAGAATAGGAATTAGTCTGTTACCCAGTAGAAAAGAGTGGTGAATGTTTTCATCCTCTTTAGAGCACCATCTGAAAGGCCCAGTCTGCTCAGTTTCCCTCCTGCCCTTCCTCTCCATCCTGTAACCATTCAGCGGGCTCTCCCCAGGGTGTGTCAGGGGGCTACCGGGAGGGGTCTGCTTTCACCTCAAAACCCTCACACACACTGTGATAGGCAGGGAAAGTGACAGAAGCAACAGACAGAGACTCTGTGTGTATTTGTGGTGCAGGCGCATTCAGATCCTTTCTACTGTGACAGGGTCTGCCAGAGTTCAGGCTCTGAGTGTCACATCCAAAGAAAACACACACACACACACACACACACACACACGCACACAGTAAAAATGGAAGTCAGAGATCAGTCATCTGATGGGCAGGTGGGGGGGAGTGAAAGATATCTGATGGACTGGGAATAGGGACCAGGAAAGGATATTTACTGTTTGTCTAAAGCATGCTCCATTCAAAAGGACTCATCTGATGTTTAGTTAAGCTCTCAAGGATGAAATACAGCACATGTGCAGACGCTGTGACAGCGGTGAAACTCGACAGTGGAGGTTATCATTCTCCCTACTGCGCCGCTGTGTCAGAGTGTGTGTTAAATACAGGCTGTATTTGTTTCACCTCTACAACTTTAGTTAGTCAGCCTGGGAAATGTATCGAACAGCTGTCGTGTTCCGATGCTGTACATGATCAGAGGCAGACACACAAACACAGATGCAAATGCCTGCTGATCAGACCTCAAATGGCTTGTTGTTTTGCTCCTGCCTTTAATCACTTCAGCAGATCTCTAGAACAGAGCATATTGTTCACACACAGTCTCTCTCTCTCTCACTCCACTGGTGTGTGTGAAATATTTATACTCACCGAGCCCTGCTTTTAGTGCCTTTCACCCGCCCCTCCTCCATTTGTCACCAATGCAAAAGAGCTCAAAATGTGCACATGCCCCACATCACACACTTACTGTATATGCACGTCCTGGGAAAACGTACACGTGCCCGCTTCACGTTTGGGTGACATGCTTCTGACACTTAACCCCCCCCCCTCTGGTACTGCAGTGGAGAGGGAATACGGGAATGCAGCCTGGTCAAAAAACACACACTTACAGAAAGAGAAGTTCAACACAAAAAGGTGAGAGAAAGTAGTAGCTGGAAACTGACGTGTGTGTGAACAGCAACAGAACCCACACCACAGATGCACAAGCAAAAACATTTCATTCCACAGTTAGTTTATGAGAGCAAGTGATTTATCAACTATCCAGAAACATTTGTTTTCATTGTTACACCTCAAAAATAAGAGTTTGAACTCTTAACTTACCCCAGAGCAAAACCACACCACCCAAGGTTTATAAATCTAGATTTCTGCATGTGAAATCTCTACAAAGTAAACACTTTTCCACTTGTGTAGCAACAACGGTTTCCACATGTAATCTTACAACATGGGTAATTACTAAAAAGGCCATTTTTCAACAGGCTATATGTAATAATTATGGATCCTGCCTCATATCAAAGCTCCACACATCACAGAGAAAAACAAACTTCACTTCCATGGGTGAAAGACAAACAGCAGCCTGCAGAATTCATCTGCACAAAGCAGGGAAAACATGAGACAAAAAAACTGAAATTAAAACAGGCTGATGCAAAAACAGCTGTCAAATTGGTACCGAGTCTCTATAAGCTGCCAATCCCGTACGTCTCCCAGTGTATTTCTGACTTTCCCACACAGTGGCCAGTACAGTTGATCAAATTTCCCTGTTTATTGCAGACACTTGGGTGATTCAAAACCACCGAGTCAATTAATAGTTGAGCAATTCCCT